AATTTACCATGAAACCTAGTAGTGAATCTGACTGTATGGTCAGACTCCATGTCCAGCCTGGTGGTGTTGGGTTTGTCTGGCAAATATGAGATGTAAGCTTGTTCTATCAGTGACATGGGGTAACCTTTTTTCTCTGGATTTATTTTTAAGAATGAAACTCTGTTCAATATAATCAGATTTTCTGGTGCAATTTTGTCGGAGTCGGCAGAATTGGCTTTTTGGTATTTTGTGTATCCATATGGGGTAGTGACAACTCTGATAATGTAAAAAGGAATTTCCCGCTGTAGGCTTGGTGTAATGTTTTGTTATCATTTTTGCCATTGTCGTGACCCATTTCTAGATCCAGAAAGGCAAGACGGTCTGGATGTTTTACATGTGTAAAAGATGGGCCAAAGGGGTTGTCATTGCAATGGGCAACAAAATGATCTATAAGGGATGGAAATACATCCCAAATGATGATATAATCTATATAGCGACCAAAGAAAATAAGATGTGCTGCAAATGGGTTGTTGTGTCAGTTGTAGAGGTTTTCCCAATAGCCCATGGCTAGATTGGCATACGAGGGCACGAAATTGGCACCCACAGGAGTCCCTTGGAGTTGGAGAAAAAATTATCCAACAAAATTGAAATAATTGTGTGCGAGGCAAAAATTGGTGGCTTCAAGTATAAAATCGGCTTGTTTTGGATTGACAAGGGGATCATGAGACAAGAAATGTTGTAGGGCCTTAAGTCCCAGATGATGAGAAATGGATGTATATAGTGAGCTAACGTCCAATGAGGTCCAACTGTATGTGGGATTTCAATCATATGGTAAGTGTATGAGATGGGCCCCATCTCTAATGTAAGACTGCAAACCTTGAGCAAGTGGCTGTAGAAAGAAATCTATACAGTGTATCCAGAAAGTATTCACAGCACTTAAGTTTTGCCACATTTTTGTTGTTACATCCTTATTCCAAAATGGATTAAATTAATTTTTTTCCTCAACATCCTACAAACAATACCACATAATGACAACGTGAAAGAAGTTAGTTTTGAAATCTTTGCAATTTATTAAATTTTAAAAATGTAAAAAAAAACACATGTACATAAGTATTCACAGCCTTTGCCGTGACATTCAAAATTGAGCTCTGGTGCACCCTGTTCCCACTGATCATCCTTGAGATGTTTCCACAAGTTTATTGGCGTCCACCTGTGGGAAATTCAGTTGATTGGACACGATTAGGAAAGGCATAAACCTGTCTATAGAAGGTCCCACAGTTAACAGTGTATGTCAGAACACAAACCAAGCCATGAAGTCCAAGGAATTGTCCGTAGACCTCCGAGACAGGATTGTATCAAGGCACAGATCTGGGGAAGGGTACAGAAACATTTCTGCAGCATTGAAGGTCCCAATGAGCACAGTGGTCACCATCATTCATTAATGGAAGAAATTTGGAACCACCAGGAATCTTCCTAGAGCGGGCCACCCGGCCAAAATGAGCGATCGAGGGAGACGGACCTTAACCAGAGAGGTAACCAAGCATCTGATTGGTCACTATGAAAAAACTCCAGCGTTTCTCTGTGGAGAGAGGAGAACCTTCCAGAAGAACAACCATCTCTGCAGCACTCCACCAATCAGGCTTGTATGGTAGAGTGGCCAGAGGGAAGCCACTCCTCAGTAAAAAGCAAATGGGCAGCCCTTCATATTGCACATTGTGATTTCCCCTGCTGCCTTGTACATTCTGTAGCAATGTGGGGAAGCAAATATTCTACATACCCAGAAGTGTAGAATACATGCAGAGGCTAGGGAGTGAAGCAGCAGGGGCTTTACCTCCTCTTTTACAGGTGTCCTATTAAGGCTAGGTTCACATCTATGCAGTTGTGGTTGAGTTTTTCTTGCACGTTTATGTTTAACACTTTTTTTTTATGCAGTGTTTTTTTTTGTTGGTTTTTTTTTTTGGCTAATAGGAAAGTATGACAGTTCTGTTAATGTAGTGTGAATTTGATGCGACTTTACACTCTCTGGCACTCAAGTTTACACAGAGGTGTGCATTTATTCCTTGGGTCTCTGCAAGAATGCAAAGACAACAATTGTTTTCTATGTGCCCCGTTCACACTACAACACTGCTGTCACTTTATTTTTATTTTTTTTTCTGCTCAGAAATATGGAATATAAATTCTCTGAAAGGGCAAAAAAAAAGTTTTCTATGTGCCCTGTTCACACCACAATGTTGAAATTACATGGTTGTTTTTTTTTTTGGGTGGGGGGGGGGGGGGGCAGATAAATTCAGCACAATACCAGTGTTGTGGTGTGGACAGGGTACATAGAGATCAATTAGTTTCTTTCTGTCCTCCCAGAAACAGATGCAGAAAACTCGCATCTCTGCACATGGAGTGAAACAATCCCCATAGTGACTAAAAGGCACAAACTGTTGGTTTGAGCACATTGGGTACTTTCTACTATAACAAAACAGTAGAAGCTGGCAACATTATTTTTTATAAACTTCTTCAAAGGACATAACTCTCCTCTACCATTATGGAACAAATATTCTTAGTGAAAGAGTTACCCTTGATGCATGTTCTGTTGCCAACTCAATATTTTGCATTTTCCCTCACTTTCGGTTCCAGGGACAATAGTAACCAGTGAATGGTTACACAGCCAAAAAAAAAAAAAATATAAAAATAAATGGCCAGCACATCAAAGGATATATCCTTTCAGAATTTTAACTGACATTTCAGAGGGCTGTTTTTAGTGCCCCCCCCTTCCCCAAATGTCACCACTATGCTACCCCAGATTTGCACCTACCATCCTTTGATTGCTAGGACATTGGAATAGCAACCGAAATGATGCTGTGGCCTAGAAACTGCAACTGTGCATTATTGGTTTTATATATACAGAAATGCAGCGGGAGAACAGATATTGAAAGTGGAAAATATATATAGATATAAAAATATTTATAAAAATTAAATATTTTTTATTTTTTTTTATAGATATATAGATCTCTCTCTATATATATATCTATATATATATATCTATATATATATATATGGGCAAAAAAGTATTTAGTCAGCCACCAATTGTGCAAAAGATGAGAGAGGCCTGTAATTGGCATCATTGGTAGACCTCAACTATGAGAGACAAAATGAGGAAAAAAATCCAGACAATCACATTGGCTGATTTGGAAAGAATTTATTTGCAAATTATGGTGGAAAATAAGTATTTGGTCACCTACAAACAAGCAAGATTTCTGGCTCTCACAGACCTGTACCTTCTTCTTTAAGAGGCTCCTCTGTCCTGCACTCATTACCTGTATCAATGGCACCTGTTTGAACTTGTTATCAGTATAAAAGACACCTGTCCACAACCTCAAACAGTCACACTCCAAACTCCACTATGGTGAAGACCAAAGAGCTGTCGAAGGACACCAGAAACAAAATTGTAGACCTGCACCAGGCTGGGAAGACTGAATCTGCAATAGGCAAGCAGCTTGCTGTGAACAAATCAACTGTGGGAGCAATAATTAGAAAATGGAAGACATACAAGACCACTGATAATCTCCCTCGATCTGGGGCTCCACGCAAGATCTCACCCCGTGGGGTCAAAATGATCACAAGAATGGTGAGCAAAAATCCCAGGACCACACGGGGGGGACCTAGTGAATGACCTGCAGAGAGCTGGGACCAACGTAACAAAGGCTACCATCAGTAACACACTACGCCGCCAGGGACTCAGATCCTGCAGTGCCAGACGTGTCCCCCTGCTTAAGCCAGTACATGTCCGGGCCCGTCTGAAGTTTGCTAGAGAGCATTTGGATGATCCAGAAGAGGATTGGGAGAATGTCATATGGTCAGATGAAACCAAAATAGAACTGTTTGGTAGAAACACAACTCATCGTGTTTGGAGGAGAGAGAATGCTGAGTTGCATCCAAAGAACACCATACCTACTGTGAAGCATGGGGGTGGCAACATCATGCTTTGGGGCTGTTTCTCCGCAAAGGGACCAGGATGACTGATCCATGTACAGGACAGAATGAATGGGGCCATGTATTGTGAGATTTTGAGTGCAAACCTCCTTCCATCAGCAAGGGCATTGAAGATGAAACGTGGCTGGGTCTTCCAACATGACAATGATCCCAAACATACCGCCCGGGCAACGAAGGGGTGGCTTCGTAAGAAGCATTTCAAGGTCCTGGAGTGGCCTAGCCAATCTCCAGATCTCAACCCCATAGAAAACCTTTGGAGGGAGTTGTGAAGACTTACAGGAAACATTTGACCTCTGTCATTGCCAACAAAGGATATATAACAAAGTATTGAGATGAACTTTTGATATTGACCAAATACTTATTTTCCACCATAATTTGCAAATCAGCCAATGTGATTGTCTGGATTTTTTTTCTCATTTTGTCTCTCATAGTTGAGGTCTACCTATGCCAATTACAGGCCTCTCTCATCTTTTTAAGTGGGAGAACTTGCACAATTGGTGGCTGACTAAATACTTTTTTGCCCCATTGTATATATGTGTGTGTGTATATGTGTGTGTGTATATATATATATATATATATATTTTCCACTTTCAATATCTGTTCTCAGCGCTTCATTTCTGTAAATATTTATTTAAAGGGTCTGAGGTTTCACCTTAATGCTAGCGGCTTGTTTTACCTAGCGCTCGTGTTCTTTATCTTTTTATCATTGTGCATTATTGGTTGCTTGGATGCACTGAACCGTTGGTTGCCAGGATGCTGGCACAGCAACCGATGGTATTGAGGCCTAGCAGCCAGTGTCCTAGCAACCAGATCAGTAACTCTACCCTGCAAATACAGGGAAAGGTTACTGAACTGCAGTGAGGATGGAGTGTCCAGTATGGATCTTCCAGCTTCAATGTTGGTCACTCCACTGTGTGCTGTCTGAGGTGGTCACCTTACTTTGCCTCATTGGTGGCACACCCCTGTGTCTATTTAGCAGTCAATGTTGTGTGACTGGAGTTCAGCTTTATTAGGCATTACCTAAGTTCAGGTTAAATTCACAACACAAAAACAGATTCTGTCCTGTGTGAATGCTCTGGTAAAAACTGATATGGCTTCTCTCCCATGTGACTCTTTTGATGTCTAGTAAGATTTCCCTTTTCAGTGAAACACTTGTCACAATCTGAACATCGAAATGGTTTCTCTCCAGTGTGAACCCTCTGGTGTTTGATCAGATCCGACTTGGCTATAAAACATTTATCACACACAGGGCACAGGAACGGTTTCTCTCCTGTGTGAATCATCTGGTGTTTGGCAAGATTAGCTTTTTCTGTGAAGCACTTGTCACATTCTGAACATCTAAATGGCTTCTGTCCTTTGTGAGTCCTCTGGTGTTTGGTCAGATTTGATTTGAACCTAAAACGTTTATCACATTCAGGGCATACATACGGCTTCTCTTCTGTGTGAATCTTCTGGTGTATGGTAAGATGCGACTTTTCTTTAAAGCTCTTGTTACATTCCAAACATTTATATGGTCTCTCCCCTGTGTGAATCCTCTGGTGTTGAGTAAGATTACCCTTTTCTGCAAAGGATTTGTCACATTCTGAGCATTTAAATGGCTTCTCTCCTGTATGAATTCTCAAGTGACCAATAAGAATTTGCTTTTTTGCGAAACACTTGCCACATATCACACATCTATACGGGTTTATTCCTGTGTGAGCCCTTTGATGTTGGGTGAGCTCTGATTTGGACCTAAAATATTTATCACACTCAGAGCATAGATATGGCTTCTCACCGGTGTGAATCATCAGATGATTAGTTAGACTTCCTTTCTCTGGGAAGCATTTGTCACATTCTGGACATCTAAAAAGCTTCTCCCCTGTGTGGATCTTCTGGTGTTTCCGAAGACCTGATTTATCAGTGAAGCACTTTTCACATTCTAAACATTTAAATGGTTTCTCTCCTGTGTGATTCCTCTGACGAATAATTAAATGTTCCATAATTCTAAAGGACTGGTCACACTCCATGGAAGGAAATGGCTTTACGCTTGTGGAACTCATCATTCTGTGATAATCGGCTCCACTGGAAAATCCTTTTCACAATTCAGTTTATTCATCCACCTGTAGGGAACATAAAAGAATCATAGACTGTTGACTGCGTCAAAGTCAAAGTGGGGATTTAAAAAATGCCATTCTAAATGGGAAATTACAATTCTTCTAGACGGATTAGTGTTTGTTTTACCACAACGAAGTGAAATGTGAGTTTAAAGGCTGGTTCACGCAGGAACGGACAACTGCCAGAGCACAAAGTGCCCCCCCCCCCCCCCCCCCCGTGCTCGCAGGTAGTGTTGAACGCATACGTAGGCCACGCCCACATAGGCCACGCCCACATATGTAAATGGTGGTCAACCCACACACGGGAGGTATCACCACGTACACAAGAGCAATCATTCTCGCACTAGACCTCCTCTGTAACTTTACACTGCTAACCTGCAGACATTTTTAAAGCATCACCCATGGAGATTAAGTACTGCAGTTTCACGCCATTCCACTAGCGGGCGCAATTTTAAAGCATGACAGGTTGGGTATCTATTTACTTGCCGTAACATCCTCTTACATAGTTTACAAAACAATTGGGGTATATATTGTTTTGTTTTTTTTTTTTTTTAATCAAAGTGTATTTTTTTCCAAAAAATATATTCATTTTTAAAAACTGCGCATTTCGGTTATCGGCCAAGTGCATTTTGAATTTTCGGGTTTGGCATCCGAATTTTCATTTTGGTGCACCACTAAAAGTAATACTAAAGGATAATTTTTTCTCTTTCAAATAAGAGGTTATATTTATTTGCCCTGTGCAATAATATTGCAAAGAGCATCCAATTCCCCCTTCTGGCAGTCCCCTCCTCCCTCCACTTGGTACCTCCTTAGCAAGCCAGGTGCTATGAAGACACATCTGTGTGTTTGATCCAGGCAGTGTGCATCCTTAGACACACACAGTGTTGGTAAGCCACACCCCCATTGTCTTCTCACAGGAGTCTGACAACAGCAGGAGCCTTCATCCCTTGCAGATTCTCACTTCTTAACTGGTCATATGGTGTCACAGGTCAGGAAGTGAGAGGGAAATCTCTAACTGAGCCACAAATCACCGGGATTAACACTCTACCCTAATCCATTCTAAAGTAGTAAAAAAAAAAAAGTTTGGGCTACAGAAACACTTTAAATTCCTTTCAGCTTGGGGTTCCTCCTGGCATTGGCTTTATTTGCGTGAGCAGAGCAGAGCAGCCCTACATGCGACAATAGTAGCAAAAAAACTAAAGCCGGGCTCGACAAATCCCAGGCGCCAGGTCGCCATAGTGACTAGAATTGCATCCTGGCGCCTGGGCTTTTGTAAACCCATTCACTGTTCTGTCCCAGGTGTAGAAAAAGGTAGTTCAATCAGTCTGGATTCTCCCACGCTGATCGTGTTCCCTTGCAACCATGCTGTCCGAGGATGGCTCCCATGTGACAGCCCACACGTTATTCAGACCAATGAGGAGCAGTGTCCCAGGGCAGGCAGATGAACTCTATGGTTTTTTCTGTGTCCGTGTTGTGACAGGCCGAGCCTCCTTTGAAAGTTTACAGTGAGGTGGAGGAGGGGAGACAAGTCCTCTCAGCCAAGTCTGAACTCTTCTGGTCCCTTGTGTGTTACGTCTGCTGGAAGGGCAGAGTTCCTGCTGTGAGCCGGTCAGGCCTAGGAGGACACCCATGTGGAAAAGTCATTGTGGGACAAGGCAGGTGGATATGTTTTGCTACCCACAAGCTGCAATTCGCGATGCACTCAGCATAATGGGTTTCTCCCTGTAACAGGTGTTTATCGTCATTCTTTCCGGCCAGCCTGTAACCCCTACATCGGTTGTTATTGGCTGGCCGCTCTGCTGTAAGTAAGTCAGAGAGCGCTGACAACACACACTATGCTAAAAAAAAAAACTGGAGCCTAACTTTTTTAGATGACTCCTAGATTCAAAGCAAATTTGTCAAGCCCTGAGCTAAAGTATCTTCATTGGTGCTTAGAGCAGTTTTTAGCCACACGTTTCATTTGCTACATTTGGGGTGTCATTAACCACTTCAAGTCCGAATACTTTTACCCCCTTCCTGTCCAGGCCAATTTTCAGCGCTGTCGCACTTTGAATGGCAATTGCACGGTCATGCAACACTGTACCCATATGAATTCTTTAGCATTTTTTTGAGACAGATAAAACTTTATTTTGGTGGTATTTATTCACCGCTGGGATTTTTATTTTTTTTTGCTATATAAATGAAAACGTCCAAACATTTTTTTAAATGTTTATAAAATTTTGCAAATAAATAATCTTTCTTCATAAACCTTGCCCAAAATTTATTCAGTTATCTTTTTAGTAAAAAAAATATCCCAAATTGGTTTATAACCAAAAATTATAATCTAAAAAACTTTTTTTTAATATATATATATATATTTATATATATAGATATAGATATATATATATAAATTATTTTTTTTTTTTTTTTTACGGTCACCCTAGCAGTACAGTGGTACACCATGGTGACACTGTACTACTTGTGGGGGGTGATGAAGATTAATTTTTTGTTTTTTTTTTTTACACCGATTGCTTTTACACCCATAAAGGCTGCAAAAGCAATCATTTCTCCTCTCTGGCTGCATTCTTGCAGCCATTGAGAAATACTGTGAGAGCTGTGATTGGTCACAGCTTGTCACATGGTACAAGGCTGTTGTGAATAGCCCTGTACCATGTGACCTCTATGATCATTCACAGATTTCACACGTAGTAAACAATGATGTCAGAAGTGACCACTTGCTTACACCTATTCATGTGATCGGGACCTCACACAGAGGTCCCGTACAGCGGGCACCACATTGGGGTCCCGGGCGCTTCCAGGGAGCACGCACAATCCAAAATGGCGGGCGCCATTTATGAAAGGCAACCCGCCCCTGCACTGCCACCATCCGGCCGTTTATATACAGCGGCCGGACGGGAAGTGGTTAACAATGAATGGCACTGGAATTGTGACAAGCTTTTTTTTGGTGTGTTTAGTGAGCCAGGGATGAACTCAGGAGTGCAAAATTTTAAAACAAAAATAAAAAACTCATTTTTTTGTTTAAAAATGTTCGGTCCTTTTTGTTCTATAGCAAAAATAAAAAACTCAGTGGTGATTAACCACTTCCCGTCTGGCCCATGTATATAAACGGCCGGACGGGGGCAGTGCAGGAGCGGGATTTGGGTCTGTGCGTGCTCCCTGGGAGTGCGCGGCACCGCGATCCAGTGCTCACTGTCCTCTGGACAAAGCGGAACACCTATCACTGTACAGGACCTCTGTGTGATGTCCCAATCATGTATCACTGATTGGCCAATTAGTGATCACATGAATAGTAGTAAGCAAGATGTCACTTCTGACATCATTGCTTACTACGTGTGAAATCTGTGAATGATCACAGAGATCACATGGTACAAGGCTATTCACAACAGCCTTGTCCATGTGACAAGCTGTGACCAATCACAGCTCTCACAGTATTTCTCAATGACTGCAGGAAAGCAGCCAGAGAGGAGAAATTGATTTTACAGCCTTTATGGGTGTAAAAGCAATCAGTGTAAAAAAATAAAAATCAACCCCCACAAGTAGTACAGTGTCACTATGGTGAAACTGTACTGCTAGGGTGATAGTATGTTAAAAAAAAATATAAAAAATAAAAGTAAAAAAAAGTTTTTGAAAAATTATAATTTTGGTTATAAACTAATTTGGGTTTTTTTTTTTTTTTTTTACTAAAAAGATAACAGAATAAATTTTGGCCAAGATTTATTAAGAAAGTTTTGCAAAATTTTATAAAACTTTTTTTTTCAAAATTTTTGGACTTTTTAATTTATATAGCAACAAAATAAAAATCCCAGTGGTGAATAAATACCACCAAAATAAAGTTTTCTGGCTAAAAAAAAAATTGCTAAAAAATTCATATGGGTACAGTGTTGCATGACCGCGCAATTGTCATTCAAAGTGTGATAGCGCTGAAAGCTGAAAATTGGCCTGGGCAGGAAGGGGGGGAAAGTGTCCAGACTGGAAGGGGGGGGGGGAGTGTCCGGACTGGAAGGGAGGGGGGGGGGGGGGGAAGTGTCCGGACTGGAAGGGAGGGGGGGGGGGGGGGAAAGTGTCCGGACTGGAAGGGAGGGGGGGGGGGGGGGGAAGTGTCCGGACTGGAAGGGCGGGGGGGGGGGGGGGGGAAAGTGTCCGGACTGGAAGGGGGGGGGGGGGGGGGAAAAGTGTCCGGACTGGAAGGAGGGGGGGGGGGGGGGGGGGGGAAAGTGTCCGGACTGGAAGGGAGGGGGGGGGGGGGGGGGGGGGGGGGGAAGTGTCCGGACTGGAAGGGAGGGGGGGGGGGGGGGGAAAGGAAAGTGTCCGAACGGGGGGAGGGAGGAGGGGGGGGGGGGGGGAAGTGTCCGGACTGGAAGGGGGGGGGGGGGAAGTGTCCGGACTGGAAGGGGGTGAAAGTGTCCGGACTGGAAGGGGGTGAAAGTGTCCGGACTGGAAGGGGGTGAAAGTGTCCGGGCTGGAAGGGGGTGGAAAGTGTCCGGACTGGAAGGGGGGAAAAAGGGGGGGGGGGGGGGGGAAAGTGTCTGGACTGGAAGGGGGGGGGGGGGGAAGTGTCCGGACTGGAAGGGGGTGAAAGTGTCCGGACTGGAAGGGGGTGAAAGTGTCCGGACTGGAAGGGGGTGAAAGTGTCCGGGCTGGAAGGGGGTGAAAGTGTCCGGACTGGAAGGGGGGGGGGGGGGAAAGTGTCTGGACTGGAAGGGGGGGGGGGGGGGGGGGGGTTAGGAAAGTGTCTGGGACTGGAAGGGGGGGGGGGAAGTGTCTGGACTGGAAGGGGGGGGGGAAGTGTCCGGACTGGAAGG